AGGCATATACCTTAAATCTTATTTGGGTTCCGATTATAATTTAAGGTATATTCCTTAATCAAGGGGTTTTGGAGTCTCTGGGCCCTTTACCTACAGTTTAGCGGCCATTGGCTCTTAATTAGTAAGTGAACCCATAAAACTGTAGGTAATTAGAGTCCCAGGTAGGCGCCTCGAGTTTAGGGTTTGGGCGCTCACCATGTTTAGGGTTTAGGGCTTTTAGGGGCATTTAGGGTCTGAAAGGCTTAGGGGTTGGGGTCCACTGCCACGGGTCCCTTGCCATCAGGATCCCGCAACTTAAGGTCCGGTCGCCATCTGTCCTTGAGTTCTGCTGATGTCTTTAACCCTAAACCCTTTGTGTAACCCTAAACCCTAAAGCCCTGAACCCCTAAAACCCTGAACCCCTAAACCCTAAGGCCCTAAACCCCTAAACCCCTAAAGCCTTAAACCCTCTAAACCCTAAACCGTCAAAAACGCGGACATCATGCGACCTCCTTGCACAGTGGGGTTCTGCATTCCATCAACTCTTCGGATCCAGGAAGCTCCCCCAAGATCGCAGACCAGATTTTGGGTTATCTTATACCATACTTATACCCAAGAACCCCAAAATAGTATGATTGGAAAAGGGTTTTGGGTTATGTTATACCATGCTTATAATCAGGAACCCCAAATTCTACCGGGGCCAAGTATAGTAACAGACCCAAGTAAACACATGCAGGAGTCTTAAAATTTTCGGGGTGCGCTACAAAAAGAAGAGCATACTAAGGAACAGCTAGGAATAGTCGTGCTGTTACACTAAGCTCCCATTCCCAAAACCGTCGGCCCTGGAATCCTCAACCCTCCCTAAAAAGAGATACCCTGGGGCTCAGGGTTTAGGGTCTAGGGTTTCGGGTTTAGGGTTCAGGGTTTAGGGTTTCGGGTTTAGGGTTCAGGGTTTAGGGTTCAGGGTTCAGGGTTTAGGGTTCAGGGTTTGGGGTTCAGATTTCAGGGCTAAAGGGTTTTTGGGTTTAGGGCTGAGGGTTCTTGCCCAAGTGCCACAGCTCTTCCAGCATCTCGCTCTGCAGCTCCTTCTCTTGGGCTTGGATAGGGGCCGTATTAAACTAGAAGAGGGCTTAGGGGTAGATAAGTACCCGTAGGGTTTGGTGTAGATGTAGATATTGGAGATCTTGGCAAATTGCAAGCCCAGGGGTGGACGGTTGAGAACAATGCTCTCAACTAGGTTTGAACCGGAGGCATGGCCAGTGACAAGAATGCTACTGCTGTGGCTCGATGCTTAAAGTCGGGCCAAAGCGAAGTGGACTATTTCTTGGGATGCAGCACACAGCCGCTTTACAGTAGCAGCAAAACAGTTGCAAGAGACTCCGCTGCGGGAGAACAAACTGCAGTGATTCACTGGAACGCTTGAAGGCTTAGGGCTTCGGGTGTTGCCATCCCTGTCCCAAGCACAGCTGTGCAGATACTCACTTTCATCCGTCTTTTTCAGTCTGGCTTTCCACGCTGCTCAACCAAGTAAGTAGGAACCCTAAACCCTATAAACACTTTTGCATCCAGGCCTATTGCGACTGCACCCTATAAACACTAAACCCTAAATCCTAAGGCATCCTAAGGCCAGGCCTGCGTGCGGCGCAGCTCGCGAAGCTGTTCCTGCGGATGTTTTGGGCACAGACTGGCTGTTCAGGTGTCAGGCCTTGCAGACTTTCGATCTGGAGGCAGTTTAGGGTTTTAGGGATGCAAACCAAAGCAGAAATTGCAGGGGGTTTGGAAAGCATAGTGACTAGTGTTGCGGAGACGAAATTCTAAAACAAATATCCAACCCCAGATGCTACCTCGAATCCTAACATCCCCGGCTGCCCTTAATCCCCCTTTGCAGTGGTCGCGCGGGAGCTTCCTCTGCCCAGAACGTGTGCCCCAGAAATGGAAAGCGCGCACATTGACAAAAGCTTGCACACAAACCCCTTAATCCCATAAACAATCCCCCTAAACCCTAAACCGTTCCCTTTTGAACGAGGTCTCTCTGAAGTGCCTCAACCGTTCCCTGAACCCTAAACCCTGAATCCAGGGGTCCCCTTCAACATCCCCAAGCCTCACAGGACCTTGTTCTGAAACCTCGCAGATGCTTTCACAAGACTCTCATAGAACCCTGAAAGAATCCGTTACAGAATCCCCGAAACCCTAAACACCTCAACCCTGATCCCTAAACCCTGAACCCTGAACCCTAAACCCCGAACCCTAAACCCCGAACCCTGAACCCGGAACTCAAAACCCTAAAACCCTAAACCCGGAACCTAAACCCTAAACTCTAAACCCTAAAACCCCAAACCCTACACCCCGAACCGTAAACCCTGAACCCCCGAACCCTAAACCCTGAACCCCAAACCCTAAACCCTGAACCCTAAACCCCGAACCCCAAACCCTCAACCCTGAACCCTAAACCCTAAACCCTAAACCCTGAACCCAAAACCCAAAACCCCGAACTCTAGACTTTCCTTTTTGAACCCTCCTGCGGTCCCGCCTCCACTCCCGAAGCTTCGGAGATCTGAGACCTGCCCCCCAAAACGGAGACTAGGGCGAGGGCCTTAATGGGCTTACACTCTCACAACTCGGACAAGCCAGGCGAGGATCCATAGGTGCAAAGGTCGGCGTGACACAACAAGCTTTCTATGCCTGCCACTGTTCAAAGCAGCAACATTAACGGGTTTAGGGTTTAGGGGCTTAGGGTTGGGGTTTAGAGTTTAGGGCTTCATGTAGGGGCCTTTAGAATAAGCTTTTGGGGTTCCTTTAAAGGGATCTATAAGGGCTACTACAAGGGTTTAGGGTGTAGGGGCCTTAATAATTAGAATAGGGTTTTTGGGGGCTCCTTATTGAAAATTATAGTATAATATACCCCAAACCCTATTCTAATTATTAAAGCCCCTATATTAAGTGGGCTCCTCATAGCCTATGGGTTTCACAAGGATCCCTAAGGAATCATAACGGTAAGTGCTAAGAAGGAGCCCTAAGGAATCATAATGGTAAGTTTTAAGAAGGAGCTCTGAGGAATAATATTGGTAAGTTTCAATAAGGAAACCTGAGGAATCAGAATCATGTTGCTAGTTCTGTACTTAGGCTTCTATGGTAGGACTGTGAGGCTGAAAGTGTCAGGAGGTCAAGAGGACGCTCAGAATTTCACGGCTTCTCCGGGCCATGGGTTGACTGTGGCCTTAGGGTTTTAAGGTTTAGGGTGGGTTTAGGGTTTACGGGTTTACGGGCGTAGCTCAAAAGCTTACTCGCGGCCGAGGGGCCCTCAAAGCACCCAGCCTTTCCCTGGAAAAAACGCAAACCCTGACGGAACGGTTCGGACTGGTCGGGCTGATAAGTGAAATATGACCACTTGGCTTGTACTTGCGCTACTTGCATATTATAACACTTTGAGTAACGTACTTGCCATCATGCTGCTGTTGCTACACCAGAAGATTCCAGTAGATTGTGTAGATGTGTAGATCACTCAAAAGATACCATGCTAAACCTTCAGCCCCTAAACCCTCAACCCTTAAACACCCCAAACCGAAAACCCTAATCTCTAAACCCAACACGCTAATCCCAACACCCTAAGCCAAAAACCCTACCCGTAAACTTCGGTGCCTGTCGGTTGCTTGCTCAGGCGGCGCTGATGCCGGAGCCTTTGGATGGCTAGAGTGGCTAGAGAGATGGATCCCGTCTAGGGGTTTGGAGTTTATGGGTTTTGGGGTTTAGGGTTTAGGGGTTAGGGTTTCGGGGTTTAGGGGCTTAGGGTTTGGGGGTTTGAGGTTTAGGGATTTAAGGGTTCAGAGGTTTAGGGTGTATAAGGGTTTAGGGTTTAGCCTGGAGGAGATGCAAAGTCCCCCGCAACGAATATAGGAGAACATACTGCCAAGGTTGCGTAAGTTTCAGGGGCTACGGGGTGTTGAATTTCCAGGTAAGGGTCTTGAAGGTGACAACACTGCAAGAGCTGCAACTGTGCCTGAAGCTGCGCCACGGCCGCCAGCATCTGTAGCTGCACCTTCATCACAGCATAAGAAACGTGGTGATTGTGGAAGTGACAGAGATGATGGTCGCCACACCGGCCGAGGATTGTGACGACAGCAGCAGCAGCAGCAACAGCAGCAGCAGCAGCAGCAGCAGCAGCAGCAGCAGCAGCAGCACCAGCACCAGCACCAGCACCAGCACCAGCACCAGCACCAGCACCAACAACATCATAATCATGATCCTTTTCTTCGTCTTCATCATCTTCATCATGTTTATCATCATCGTCATCGTCATTATCACGTGTCATTGCTATGAGCTGCTTCTGTGCTTCGGTTACCCTCCCGGTTGTTGCCATGACAGTCTACGACGCAAAGATGTTGGCGTAACAAAGAACATGATGATGGCGGTCATAGCAGTAGTCATGTTGTCGGTGACGATGCCGACGCTGCTGGTGCTGATGGTCACCCTCACGATCTTCTTGATTACAATGGTAATGCTGCAGGAACTGGTGGCGAAAAGCTGGAGGTCACGACGGCAAAATCATTAACATTGTGGTGGGTGGTAGGGATGCCAAACCGCATATCGCATCGAAGATGACAAACAGGGGAGTCTGACTGCAAACGTTGCTGGCGATGGTGATGGATGGAGGTGGTGATTAATGGCAATTTGGGGTGGTGATGATGCTGATGGTCGTCGGAGGTGAGAGTGGCCCAGTGCTGAGGAGCCTTCTGCATCTCAAGGAGCTGCTGCCTTGCTTTCTCATGGTGGCAGAAACGGAGGGAGGTGGAGGGGATTATCACCTCATTCGGTGTTGACTTCGGGCGTCGCTGGCTCCAGATACACATGAAAGGTTTGGAGGCTTGTCGGCGTTGAATCTGGGGAGTGATGTTTATATATCGGTTTTAGAGGTCTCAATGCCGTGAAACCCCAGAAAGAACTGATGAGACGAGCTTTGCCGCTGTTTCAACAAGATTCCCCTCCAACCTGTGCCCTCTAAAGGGCAAGCTGAAGAGCCTTTGCTACAGAACTTCCGCGAATCCTAAGGGCGGCTATACACCCTCTAGCCCCTCTGTGTGGCTGACGTGCAGGATCTTGTGATATGAACCATGAGGAAGCCAGTCGTGGCCAAAGGTTAGGTGCCAAAAGCTTATAAAGCTCATGCAGGGTTCTGCCTATCGAACACAATTCCTGCAACCTCTACAGAAGTGCTTGGTGGGGGGTTCAGGGTTCAGCCCACAGAAAGCCCTTCCAAAAACGATATCACACCGTGTTTGAACACCTATATATAGTACCCTAATAGTAGGATCCTTATTATAAGGTCCCCAGAATAAGATGCCCCTTGTTTTGGGAAACTCTCCGATATCAAGCCCTGTTCGAACAGGTAATGCCAGTCAGGCTGCATCTGCTGCTGCAGCTCTGGCTCGCTCTCACCGCTGACAGGAGGCCTTCCAGCAGCACCCAAAGCCCAAAACCCAAAACCCTGAGCCCTAAACCCTAAACCCAAAGCCCTAAACCCAAAACCCTAAGCCCTAAACACTTTGAACAAAAAGGGCTTGGGCTTCCGTGTTTTAGGCGGTTTCTAACACTCGCACACTCGGAGAAGCCTGGCAAGCTTCGGGGGTTTTGAGGGGTCTAGGATGGTCCAGGGCTTAGGGTTTAAGGGTTCAAGGGTTTAGGGTTTAGAGGTTTAGGGGTTTAAGGGCTCAGGGTTTAGAGGTCTAGGGGTTTAAGGGCTCAGGGTTTAGAGGTCTAGGGGTTGAGGGTTCAGGGCTTTAGGGTTTTGTCCCTCTCGCCTCAACCTCTAGATCCTATAAACCCCTGAACCTTTTGACCCTAAGCCCTTAAACCAGGGGTTTATGGTGTGGGGTTTGGGAGGTTCGCATTGTAGACGTTATGCCTTTAGGCCCTACTGTTTCGCCTGCAAAACGCCCGCTTGTGAACCCCCTTTGAGCCGAAAGCCTCCATATCCGGATCTCTATAGAAGTCCTTCTGAAAGGAAGGGGACGTTCTTGAACCAAGATCTACATAGCTCACAGTCATAGTCTGCTTGCTCTGTGTGTACACCACCCATCAAATAAGGAACATGCCCCACAACTTACAGGAATAATATACGGGCCTTAATATTAGAATAGGGTTTCGGGGTATATTATGCTATAATCCTAATAAGGAGCCCTCAAAATAGTATTGGTATCCCTCAATTTATCGAGGCCTCGGGCTTTCAGTCAAAAAGCTGAGGGGTTTAGGCATTAGGTTCGCGGAGACACACCTAATCCGAACTCCTCAAACCCTAAACCCTAAACTCCCTAAACCCTAAATCCTAAAGCCTCAACTCCGCTTCTCATCTGAACTCGTATCCTTCTCACAATACTTGATATGTTCAAAGCACGTAGATAGGTAGATGCCCGTAGGCACAGCGTTGAGGGCTGGGTGGCTCTCAGCTTCAGGGTCTGCAGACCTTCCGACTCCCGCTCTGAACTCCAAAAATTCCTGGGCCCGTATTTTGTTCCCACCCGCCCAGCTGACAAGTCGCACCGCAGGGATGACTTTAGAGTTCGAACTCCGGAGAAAAAGTGATGGGCCGCCAAGGAAAATGCAGTCTCCCTAGTGACAAGACAACCACAAGTGACAACCAGGGTTTAGGGTTTAGGGTTTAGTATATTTATCTAACTTAATAGTATGGTCTAGTAAGGCGTAGTGTATTGTAGGGTTTCGAGGTTCGGTGTGGGGATTTTGCTAATCTGAGACCGTCTACCTTCGAAAAGTGGGCTGAAGCAGCAACGACCCTGAACTCCGAAAGCCCCGGAGCTACATATACCCTTACTTTACCGCTACGCTACCCTGAACCCGAAACCGCTATACTGCGGCCGAAACCCTAAGCCCTAGAAGCCCTAACCTCTGATGATCAAAACGCATCGCTGGGATGCCGGCAAGGGCGAGGGCCGACCTCCTCTCGGTGCACGCCTGGAAAGGTCTTCGGGCAAGAATGTTCCTACGGCTAGGGTTTTTTTCCTGCAGCTACGGTTTAGGGCTTACTGTGGGGTGTAGGGTTTAGGGATTCTGATGGCTGCAACTGTGCTCCTAATTTTCGCATGCATGCAATTCCCTTTGTCGTTGAATTGCCGTAGCTGCTGCTGGCGCCGTTGTTCTGCTTGTCCTTGTTGTGGCAGAAACAAAATATGCCGCATTCCGTTAACCTTCTAAATTCAATTACAGTAGTCTAGACAGTAGTTTCATTCACTTCATGGCCTTGGATGCTATTAACTCTGGTGTAGTTGCCTCCTCATGCCCTATTCATCTTCTTTCAAAGCCAATCAGAACCCCCTCAAACCTGTCTCAAGCCCTGCAGCAGCCCACGGACGACACCCCAAGCCCTATACCCCGAAACCCTAACCCGAAAGCCCTAAACCCCAAGCACTAAAACCCTAAACCCGAAATCCTATAAGCCCTAAACCCAAATCCCTGAACCCTAAACCCTAAACCCCTAAACCCGAAATCCCAACCACCTAAGACGAGGACACACCAAGCCTCGATCTCGGTCGGTGCTCTGCAGCCTCTGCCAGCTCAAGCTGCCGATGCTCCTAAAGTTTAGGTTTTAGGGTTTTAGGGCTTTAGGGTTTTAGGGTTTTAGGGTTTAGGGTTTATTGTTTAGGGATTAGGGTTTAGGGTTTTGGGTTTGGGGTGTGTGTATACCCTACTCAACCCTACACCCTCCACGCCCAAAACTAATTGAGGATCATGGAAGGCAGGTCAAGACATATGCACCGATTCGAAAGCCCAATTGCGACGTGTAAGTTCAAGGCAAAAGCCTCCCCGGTCCTGCAAAAGTTTTCGCAACTCGGAGAGTTCTGCCGGAGGCGGCCTCTTGCAACGGGATGGAGACCTAGACACCCTAAACTTTTCAGGAGAGGGGCCCCAACACTCAAAAGATGCATGGGGCTATCTATGGCTATCTTATACCATGAACATAACAATTGAACCTCGGGAAATAGTATGTACTATCACCCCCTAAACCCTAAACCCTAGACCCTAAACCTTGTCCTCAAGATTTCTTTGTTGGAACAGTATCTTTCCCATTGTTGAGATTTCTATGCCACAGCTCCCAGCAAGGCCGAGCGGCCACTGAGCCTTGCTAGGCTAGGACCTAGGATCTCTGGGGCTTCATAGGGTTTAGGGTTTAGGGTTTAGGGTTTAGGGTTTAGGGTTTAGGATTTAGGACCCAAGTCTCCCTAATTGTTTTTGGTTCGGGCCGAATACGTTGGGCCTCAATAGCTGTGCAGATTGTATTTTGGGGCATCTTATGGTATGTTGGTAGCTTATTCCACTTGGCAAGGAACGCCATAGTCATAAGAACAGAAGCACTAGCTTATCATGCTTCTGTATTACACGAAGTTTACGGCTTGAGGGCTCGCGGAGACAAAGCCGAGTGTGTGTGTGTGTGTCTATATATATATATACACACATGCTGGGGCCGCTAGGGAAGGTTTCGGGTTTAGTGTTTAGGGATTTCCGATTTAGGGTTTATGGTCTAGGGAGGGAATACTGTTGCAATTATTCAAGCCTCTTTCGTAAAGCCTCCCCGAACCCTAAACCCTAATCAGGCCCTAGACCTAAACCCTAAACCCTAGATATTAAACCCTAAACCTTAGACCTCTCTACCTATAGCGATTAAAACCCTATAGTCTTCGTGGATTTTGATCGTTAACTCCTGGATTTTGATAAAAACTCGCGGCTTTTGATAATTAACTCGTGGCTTTTGATCATTTACTCGTGGCTTTGGATCAAAACTCGCGACATTTGATCATTGGCTCGTGGCTTTTGATCAAAACTCGCGGCTTTTGATTCGCACTGGTGGCTTTTGGTCAATAACTCGCAGCTTTTGATAAAGACTGGTGGCTTCAGATTATTAACTCGTGGCTGTTGATGAAAACTCGCGGCTTTTAATAATAAACTCGTGGCTTTTGATCAAAACCCGTGGCTTTTGGTCAAAATTCGTGGCTTTTGACGCCCTTCGTGGCTAGGCCTAGGGTTTGGGGGGGTTGCGGTTTCGGGCCTAGGGTTTTGAGGCTTTTTGGGGCTTACGATTTAGGCCCTAGGGTTTTGGGGTTTGCTGTTTAGGGTCTAGAGTTTCGGGGTTTACGGTTTAGGGCCTAGGGATTTTGGGGTTCAGGCACGAGGGTTTTGAGGCTTGGGGTTAGGCTGAAGGTGCGGTGTGGACTGGCTGGGATAAGCCCTTAGATTTGGGAATTACATCGTTTGACCTGAGATGGTGGGATTGCGGTCGATTGTTTGATGATATGTCTAAAGTTTTTTATTGAATCTGAAACAAGTAAAGGTGTTGTTTCTAATGTGGGGGGGATTCTATGGGCTTGCGGGGGTTTATTCTTGAGAATAACTTGAAAGGACATGTTCGAAGTCAGAGCTGCTGAACCCTAAAC